TCCATAAGTCCTCTTATGCTTAGTGAACTTGAAATAGGGAGAAAATTTGTGCAACTTAAAACACTTTTCAATCAAATATCCCGATTTCTTACAATAATTGCAAAACATTCCACCTTTACGATTCTCAAAATTGTCTTTCTGGACATTACCTCTATTTTTTCACTTTGCATTTTGAAACTTCGTACCTGCTGCATTGAATGAAGAGGTTTGTCCTAAAAAATGTATAGAAGCATGAACTTCACGTTGCTTTTTCTTCATGCAACAGAATAGAGTAAGCCTCATTTGGAGTAGGCAAAGGCTTCATCATAAGAATGTTTCTTCTAATAGATGTATAAGCCTCATTTAATCCCATCAACAACTAAATTAGCTTCTGATTTTCCGTCGCCTTCAAATTCCTTGTCTTAGCTCCACATTTATACTCACATCCACAAATTTCGAAAATGTTAAGAAACTTCAATTCGTCCCAAATTCATTTAATTCTAGTAAAGTAAGTTGCTATAGCATTAGTTCTTTGCGTAATACTACTAAGTTCCTTTTGCAATTGAAACAATTGAGTTCCGTTTGACTGTCCATACCTTGTCTCTAGTTCTTCCCAAATCTCCTTTGCTGTAAAGGAGTACAAAACAATGTCACTTATATCTTTGCTTAAGGAGTTAGGAAGCCATTGGATTACAACATCGTTGCACCGATTCCAGTTCTCAAACTGAGCTGATTTCTCATCTGGTATTTTGATACAACCGTTTATGAAACCTAATTTGTTCCTCATAGATAAAGCTATCAACACACTTTTCCTCTAAGCTCCATAGCGGGAACCAGTAAAAACTTGAGATACAATAGTCAAACCATGGTGATCAGTAGAACTCAGAAAATATGGATTAGAATAATCCATAGCACTAGCTGGAGAAGTCATGTTTGATGGGGAAGAAATCATTTATGTTGTGCTGCCCATTCTCAGTGAAAATTGAACGAAAGAGAATTTAAAAAAAAAATCGAACAAAGATTATTGAAGAGAAGAACAACGGACTCGTAGAATCAATAGGAATCAGAAATGGATTAGAAGAGAATTGATTCACGTAATCTCGATCTCCATCGCTGCTTTGATACCATGATGGAATTGAAAAGAAACCATTGAAGAGAAGATTCTAGAAAACTTGAACGAGAAGAAATGATTTCATTGATTTCCTTTTTTGTGCTACTATGTATCGTGTATATATATACAACTCAACTGAGAAATAAAAATGTCTAGTGCTAATGCTCCGTGTCAAACTCCTATTGGCCTATCTGCAACAAACTAAAACTAAAAAAGAGTCGTATAGCAAAATATAGACTAGTATAATTAAATACACATGTGATCCCGTATAGCTGTTTGTGTGCATGCTCCTGCTTATCTAGAACCTTTCACATGCACCAGACTTCATCAAGTAGAATTAATCAAAATTAGTTGGCCAAGTTTAAATCTCCTTTGCCTCTAACAAACACTTCCCCGCGGCTGTGTATCGGCTCAGATTCATCACTGGCAATAGAAATTTGATAAGCCAACAAATTAATTTTAGATTATGCAGCTAACTAAGGGTAGCTTTGATATTTTGTTAATCTTAGGTTTGTATATTAAAAATCTTACCATATTTTAAAAATATATTAAACAAAAATGTCTAATGATTTGATTGGAAGTGGAAGGGTAGAGTTAAATAATACAATGATCTTCTCTGCCCTTTTTTTTTGGCGAGTTGCTAGTAAAATGGTTGTAAAGATATTTTGAAGAGAAAAACTTGTACAAGTCTCTCTAATTCAAGTGAGAACTCAATGATCTTGTTTTTGTTTAATTGTATACTACAGATAAAACTATGAAGATCTTGCGATAATTATTGTACATAAAACCTTCTTGTAGTGTTATGAACGCATATAATTTTTTTTAGGACCTTATTTAAAATATATCCATAACTATTAAAGTTTAATCGCCTTAATATTTATTATAGTCTGAAGTTTTAAGCTTTGCCAAAATCTAACAATTCTAATCTAGGAAAAATGAAAAAAATAGAATATTTTGCGCTGATGTTGACTTTTTATCCCGGTAACAGAAGTTTCGAAAATAGTTCGGCGCCCGGTTTAGAGACAAAATCCTGATGATCACCAGAATTTTCAGTCTTAATACTGAAAAATTCTGGTAATCCTTATGATTTTGCCACAAATCCTAACGGATCACCAGATTTTTTAACATTATGGCTAAATTCCTGATGCTTCAAAATTTTGGCAATTACCAAAATCGCTTTCCAAAATTTTGAACAGTATGTTTTAAAATCCTGGCCGAAGATTATTTTTCCAAAAAACAAAAATATTTGGTACAAAATTTAAATGGCGGTCCTAAAAAGATTCATCCAACGTAATTATCTAACTAATCTACTGCGTGACGGTTGTCAAAGATCTAGATATGTACTGGAGATAAGCCCAACCTAGAGCCAATCTGGGCTTTAACAACAATGAGTCTCGAAAGAAGTTAGGATGGACCCAAGAAAAGTTTTGATTATTTTTCACTACGTAGCATAACGGAGCATTTTCATATATGCCCGTTTTGGTGTCACTATTGAAGTTATACTTGCATTGCACAAAAATTTACAAAGTGTATCCCCTCAGGTATAAAATAGTTCAATCTTTTCAATGCAACTTCAGAAATCAAATCTAAAGTTATTCTATCTTTCAAATGCAACTTCAAAAATTCGAATGTGGAGTAGTTCAATCTCTTTAATGCTTACTTCAGAAATCAAATATGAAATTCTTTTATCTTTCAAATGCAACTTTAGAAATTCGAATCTTAAGTAGTTCAATGTATTGAATGCAATTTCAGACTTCAAATTTTAAGTTCTGAAACATAAATTTGTTTTTCGAATTTCAATAATTCGATATACGATTCAATGCCCAAATCTACTCCAAATGAGCTCAAATTCGAAACATAACTTTCAAATATTATAAATAAATATCTCAACCATAAAATTATCACAACAACAACAAATTTAACAAACACATCTTGCAACAAAGAAGAAAAAAAAATATAAGCATAAAAAAGAAGAAACAACAATAACAAAGAAGTGAAAAATGTATGTATGAAGTTATACAAAAATTGGGTATGAGTCAAACTTTTCCTAAAAAGTGGATACAAATTCAATGAGTGACGCAAAATTGGACGCCATATAATATTTTTGCAACGTAACATGCTAAAATTCATCATTTGACGTAATATATCAAAATTACATTAAAAATATTAAATGATGAAAAACTTATCATATAAAAGTATTTATAATGGATTGAATATTGTCAACCATATATGAGTGCATTTTAACTTTTCATAGAGCAAAAGCTACACAACTTTTGGTAGGGAAATAATTTCACGAAACGAAAAGAAAAAAGTGAGGAAACATTTTTTTTTACGTTCGTATATAACTATATATAAAAGAAGATTCGTAATAAGATACAAATTGTTCTCTTTACGCTGAGTCGTAGTGACGCTTTTTTTAATGAATAATTGAAGATTTTCTTTTTATCAATTTTTGGCAATGTCATATATATATAAACAAAGAGAACTTTTAGGCTTTTGCACAAAAAATTTATTCTTGAATTTGTAAAAAATATTTATACAATTAAGTTGAGTTGGATCAAACATTCAACGTGTAAAATCATTGCTGATAAAACTAAAAATTCTAAATGAAGATGCAAGAGTGTTTAACTCATAAAGCCAAAGGGGGAAAAGAAGAGATGCTTTGCATACTCCGAAATCAAGAGGAATATGGTGGGGCTAGTGGTTTACCCAGATACAAACAACAAAGTGACTGAAAAAAGGAGATTGGAATAAGATTATTCCCATAAGGAATATAACTTTATAGGCAATAGATTATGAATCAGGTCCAGCTCCATCTGATTACATAAATAAAATAAAACATTAATCAGTTCTACCAGACATTTAAGTAGGCCGACAAACCTGTAAATCTGCTGATGCCTGAAACAAATCAAATACCCCTTTCAGTTACCATTTTACCCTTGCGTTACCTAATATTTCAATAGCATTTGAGAATTGATTTAAAGTATTTCTCCTTCGTTAAAATCTTGACCATAACTACTGAAAGCTGCATCTTTAAAAATTACTTTTGGGGACAAATTTTGAAAACAAATAAAGTATAACTAACGGGCGTAGTTAAAAGTATAAGCAATTATATTGTATCATCAAATTTAATGTTATTCCGTAAAAAAAGTGAATGTTATTTACGAACTGTGGATGCAACAAAGAGTCATGATAATTTTTATGACATTAAGTGATATTGTTAAATAAAATTCTAAATAAGTCTTTTTCAAAACTAAGAACACTCCCGAGTAATCACCTACGGTCAACTTAAGGTAACCAAAGTTGCTTTTCTTTATGCTTCATCCATCTAATTTCATATGACATACTGTACCTTACATTTGAAAAGGTACACAATTTTAAACCTACTTTTTGAAAAAACAATTTCATAACTATAATTTTTTTATGAATCCTAGCAAATTCTATATACGAATTATACATCTAAATTTTTTAAAAAAGATTTAAATTTTGAGATATATATTACAGCAAATTACTAGATCAAAATGGTCTTGATATGCTTAACGTCAATACCTTTTTACTAACTAGTATGTCACCAAGTTAGAAGCTAGATATCAAAGGGTTGTGGTGACGAATATGATCTCTTCACTCGGTAACTAAAGATATCAGTTGGGAGACATGCAATAAAAAGATTTTGATAAAAAATACTTTCCTCCTCTAAGTATTATGCGGCACGAATATGAATTAGTTGGGACCTAAAACAATTATCGCACACTTGGTGGAAATAAAAAAAGAAACGAAAAGTTGGAAGAATAAAATGGGTAATTTGGGAAAAAGAATTATGACATCATAAAATAAAACTATGACACTGTAAAAAAAAATATTGTCCTCAAGATATAGTCCTCATAAAAAACTTTTTACGGCGGAGAATCTTTGCAGAGAGAGAGAAACACATAAACCACTCTATTATTCCACTCCTTTTTACCCCAATCCCCTCTTCCTCCTATTTCTTTTTCTCTACAAAAAGGTCTCATACAACTCATCATCACTAGAAACGTTACTACAATGGAAATCCAACAACTTGTTCTCAAGTTCAAATTTCACATCTTATTCGCATCCATTTTTTCTATTTTCATCATTATTCTCATTTATCTTGCACCTCGTTTTATCGATGTTATCAAGTACTTTTGGCCTCTCTTACTCTCCACTGCTCTTTTCCTCGTCGCCGTCGTCCTCTTTGGCCGGATTTCTCCGCCGGTAGCTGAGGCTGAGAAACCGGGTGAAGATATATTGGATTTCGTGGCGGGTCAACCCGATGAATTACAACCTCATCTACATGAATTACATGAACATGGAGAAGAAGAAGAAGGTGAAAGCAGTACTAGTAAAGTAGAGTGAAGGGAATTTAATTACTGGTTATTTCTGCAATTTTTATTATTTTAGACACTTTTTTGGATCTGTTTTTCTTCTTCTTTATCCTCGATCTCCATAACTCCATTTTCTAATCAGTTTGTAGGTAATGAAATTGACAGGTGGTGAATTGTGTATATTCTTCAGTATATTGTTACAACTTGCATTATTGGCCTGCACCTTTGGAGCT